TTTATTATTGCCTTAGCTTCTGCCTGCTTGACTCCATGCCATGCCTTGTGGCTGCTTGGCCTTACTCCTCCCCTGACTGTGGCTCACCTTGACTCCTAGTGCCTAGCTGCCATGACTCCTGCCTGCCTGTTGGTCTCAGGAAGACCGTTGCCTGTCAGCTGCAAAGCAGGGGCAGGACGCTTTCTCTTACGTTTTATGCTTGTTTTTTAAGCTACATGAAGTTAGAAGCGTTTCTATTAGGGTCAGCTTTTTTGCACAGCTGCGACTTTTAAGTTTTTTAAAAATTCACAGCATTCCCTGCTCCCTGCAAGAGCAACTTCAAGATAACGTGGCTGGAATCCTACAAACACTTTCCTGTAAGTCCCACTTCTTCAGTAGACCTGCTTAGGACTGCCCCCTGCGAAGAGGGGATCAACTGAAGAAGAAGAGATTGGCCCCAGGGTGGAATGACAGCCCTTAGGGGTAGCAGATGTGTTCATGGAGTGGAATGACAGGCCCTGGGGGTAGCAGGAGTGTTCTGGGACTGAAATGACATGCCCTTGAGTGGAATGACAGCCCCTGGGGGCACTGTTCCCTCTAAGCTGAGTTAGTGTGAGCTAGCTCACAGTTTTTTAGCCTCCGACTCACACGTTTGCCTTTGCTCAGCAAGGATGGCTCCAGAGCAAACTAGTTTATCCAGTAGCCAAATCGCTTAGAGGGAACATTGCCTGGGGGTAGCACGAGTGTTCTGGGAGTGGAATGACAGGCCCCAGAGTGGAATGACAACCCCTGGGGGTAGCAGCAGTGTTCTGGGACTGGAATGACAGGCTCCAGAGTGGAATGAGAGCTCAGGGGGTAGGAGATGTGTCCTGGGACCCAAATGACAGGCCCCAGAGTGGAATGACATCTGGTACCCCCAGGTGCTGTCATTCCACTCTGGGGGCATGTCATTCCAGTCCCAGAACACTCCTGCTACCCCCTGGGGCTGTCAGTCCACTCTGGGGCCTGTCATTCCAGCCCCAGAGCAGTGTATTTGAGACCAGAAACCTTAATGGAAAATCCATTCCGCATTTTCTTTGAAACGCTTCTTGAGCTGCAATGTATTTCAATGGAGCCCGTGCACGTCAACGGGCATTCCGGGCTCCCATTATTTCCAGCGTGCCTTCCAGTCTCTCCCATCGTTTCCAACGGGCAATCCTGCCTTTCCTTTTAGCAGATTCCCCTCTTTCCGACAAACAAAAAAGGCAAGCAGAGACGAGAGAGAGCAGGGATGCCGCATTCTTCCGGCTGAGCTACAGGAACAGACGCTCGCCGCCTGCCCCGTGTCTGAACTTGCCTTTTCTCCCCTTTTCCGGCTTCACAACACCGAGGCAACTACCGCCTCCCGCCGCCCCCCGCGGCTTTTATCGCAGCCGTCTTTATGCCGCTCTACAGACTACAACTCTCTGGCTTTCACTTCCGTCTCTACAGAGGCGTCACTTCCGGGTCGTGCGCCCATGTTGAGCTGGGTGGCTGTTTGGCAGTGCCGGGTTCCTCTCTCTTGAGTTCCGCCTCTGAGGCTTCCTTGGCGCCGGGTCCGTCTCCCCCCTCCTCCTCCTGCCCCCCAGGTATTTGAAGACTCGGCTTTTCCCCATCTTCGCCAGGGATAGACGAGAGGCGCTCTTTGAATCTAATTTCACACACGCACACCGCTCTTGCTAGGGTTGCCAGGTCTGGGTTGGGGAATACCTGGAGACTTTGGGGGCGGATCCGGGAGAGGGCGGGGTTTGGGGAGGGGAGGGGCCTCAGCATGGTACAGTGCCAGAGAGTCCACCCTTCAAAGCAGCCGTTTTTTTCCAGGGGAGCTGATCTCTGTCAGCTGGAGATCAGTGGTCAAAGCGGGAGATCTCCAGGCCCCACCTGGAGGCTGGCAACCAATGTTCCCTCTAAGCTGTGGAGTCGTGTGAGCAAAAATTCTACTTTGTGAGCTCACTGGCATTAAAGTTGTGAGCGAACACTTTGGCTCCTGCATAAATTAGTTTGCTCTGGAGCCCTCCTTCCTGAGCCAAGACAAAAATGTGTGAGCCGGAGGCTAAAAATCTATGAGCTAGCTCACACTAACTCAGCTTAGGCAACCCTAGCTCTTGCCTGACTCCCAGCGAACAGGACTCTGCGGCGTTTGGTTGCCGTCCTCGTTCCCTGGTGGGGCTTCTGTGCCTTTTAACAGTTGCTTGACCCGCAGGAATTCAGCAAATCAACTTTCTCAGGTGGGGGGGGGAAGCGCCCCCCTTAAAACACTTGTAAATAACTTGTAGAAGGAGGTGGCGGTGGCTACAAGCATGGACAGCTTCAAGAGGGAATTGGATAAACATCTGGAGCAGAGGTCCATCAGTGGCTATGAGCCACAAGCAGTATTCCCTCTAAGCTGTTAGTGTGAGCTAGCCCACAGTTTTTTAGCCTCCGGTTCACACATGTTTTTTTCTTAGCTCAGGGAGGTGGGCTCCAGAGCAAACTAATTTATTCAGTAGCTAAATCGCTCGCTCACAACTTTAACACCAGTAGCTCACAAAGTAGAATTTTTGCTCACAAGACTCCACAGCTTAGAGGGAGCATTGGCCACAAGGTATATACAGGCACTCTGCCTCTGGGGCAAGTGATGCTCTGTATTCTTGGTGCTGGGGGGCGGGCAACAGTGGGAGAGCTTCTGGTGTCCTGGCCCCACTGGTATTTTTGGCCACTGTATGACTGGATGGGCCATTGGCTTGATCCAACATTGGCTTCTCTTATGTTCTTAAGGCACAGGAGTCCTCCGGCCGCCCTCTTCTCATGTGTTGCCCATCATCTTCTTTCCCTGTCCTTGCTGTTTGCTTGCTTTTAGTTATTTACAGCTTCTTGTTAATTGGAGGGTGTGTTTTTTCCTTTCCCCTTTGACAGCTAGTGGGTATATGATTATGGAGTGACCATAATGTATATTCTGTTCAGTCACGTCCAATCTTTATTACAATTTCTGTAGTTGCTCTTATTTAAACTAGCAGAAGTTTAATTAAATATGTAAAAGATGAGTACCTTTACTGTTTTTGAAGAACCACCACAAGACGGAACAGATACCTCTGACAAAGCCTGTTGGCAAAATGCATAGGGAATATTTTTGCAATTTAACAGAGTCATAAAATATATTTTTGCCTGATTTTGCATCGTCGACCTTGGTCTTGTTTTTTATCTCCTGTGACTGGTGCAGCTCTTTATTTTTACTCTTAATACAGAGTGACTCCTTTCTTACCAAGGAAAACAAGTGCTACCTTTTGTAGCCTGAACATTATCAGCAGTGGGTATTGTCCGGCTAATATAGAAATCAGTGGAGAAATTGCCATTGATTTGAGCAGCGCTAGATTTGTAGTTAATGACTGTAATTAGATTTCTTTTTCATTATCTAATCATCTGTGTAAGTTGTCTTTTAGTAGTTCAGATAATACTCTTAGGATGTCTTATTCCTAATAATTATGGCTGGAATCCAAAGTGCCCCATGAAGTGTTCTGCGTGTGCTTTGGGGATTTTCTTTTTCTACCTTCCCACCGCAGCCCCCTGAAAATTGACTCTAGATGGGCAGACCCTTACCGGTGGCATATAATGAGGTGCAAAGGGGATGCCATTGGAAGAGAAAAAATTGCAAGTGCCCACTGAACATGCACCAATACTTTTGATTTATGCAGGAATTCTTTAGGTCTAACTTTTTATATAACTCTCTTTGTTCATTTCCAGCTACAATGGATGAAGCATTACCAGCCAGTTCAGAGAAGCTTACTGTCATCCATTCAAAAGCTCACAGAGATACTGTTCTGGCTAACTTTGAAGATCAGAGGAAGAAAGACTTTTTGTGTGATATCACTTTAATAGTAGAAAATGTTCACTTTAGAGCTCACAAAGCTTTACTCGCTGCCAGCAGTGAATATTTCTCAATGATGTTTGTTGACGAGGGAGAGATAGGCCAGTCCATCTATATGCTGGAAGGGATGGTGGCGGACGCCTTTGGTGCCCTGTTGGAATTCATCTACACAGGCTATCTGCAGGCTAGTGAAAAAAGTACGGAGCAAATATTGGCCACGGCTCATCTCCTCAAAGTGAATGACTTAATAAAGGCCTACACAGACCATCAGAAAAGTCACAGTCTAAATAATGCGCACTCTGCTGCGCCTAACAGTGGAGCCACAGTGGTTGTTTTTGTGGATGATACAAAAAGCGAAGAGCCACCGAAGCGAAAACGTGGAAGACCAAGAAAAGTTAAGAATATTGTGGAGGAAAAAGTGGACGCACCTTCAGCTGAGGATGCACAGCTGAGAGAGAACAACTCGGTTCACAACAAGCAAGACTTTACGAAAAAGGGTGTTGTCAGAGAAGACAGAAATTCTAATGAGTTGGCCGCCGTAAGCAAAGACGTAGAAGAAACTGAGCATGCTTGTAGTTCAGACGCTGTGGTGGCCGTCTCTACTGAAAAAGATGAGAACTGTGATCCGAAGTCCCAAAGTATCATCCAGGCCGGTCAGGGTCGATACAGTAAACGTAGGATTTGGAGATCAATCAAATTGAAAGACTATAAACTTATTGGTGACGAAGAAGGCAGTGAGCTGAAAAAGAGGTCTGGGGAGAGAAGGAAATGTACAGGTTCCGAAGTCCAGTGCAAAGATTGTGGAAAACTGTTTAAATATAATCATTTTTTAGCTATTCACCGCAGAAGTCATACAGGTAAGCACTGCTGAAGATAGCTTATTTTGCATCAAAATATCATTGGTATCATGATTATTATGGCCTGCTGTCTGATTATTTCAGCAGTGGGATTTATTGAAGTAAAAAGTTAGCATACCTTTCAAGTGATTAACTATTGCAGTATCTCCAGGAGTTTCCCTTCCTATGACTCATCCCTTTTTACCACAATGGGGGTGGGGAAAAGGGTTTGCTGAGCTTACAAACAAGGTGGGAGCTGCCACCACAAAGGATGCATTGCTTTGATCCCTCTTTAATTATCTGTCGGAAGAAGAAGAGAAGAGATTGGATTTATACCTCGCCCTCCACTACCCAAAGGAGTCTCAGAGCGGCTTACAAACTCCTTTCCCTTCCCCTCCCCACAACAGACACCCTGTGAGGTAGGTGGGGCTGAGAGAGCTCTGACAGAAACTGCTCTTTTTCAAGGACAGCTGTGCCAGAACTGTGGCTTGCTCAAGGTCATCCAGCAGCTGCAAGTGGAGGAGTGGGGAATCAAACCCAGTTCTCCTAGATTAGAGTCTGCGCACTTAACCACTATGCCAAACTGGCTCTCCAGTCAAATGTTCTACCCCCTTTTTGGTTGGACAAAACACTGGACAGCTCTTGTAACTGGGCAGCTACCTGTGCATAGTTGCTGTACACTAAGAGTTGTCAGTTGTCCACAAAAACGATGTCCATGGACCCTGACACCTCTCTAATGCAGAGATGGTGGACTACGGGTAGATAACGTAAGTAATGCCCCTGTGCAGTGTGGCAAGGCCAGGTATGGCCATGTAACATAAAAGAAGTCTAGCCCTTTCACATCAACTGTTATATACAAAACTAAAATAATTTCCTCAACTTGAAGCATAGACATCGCCATTTAATTTAGAGAGCCAGTTTGGTGTAGTGGTTAGGAGCGTGGATTCCAATCTGGGAGAACCGGGTTTGATTTCCCACTCCCCCACTTGCACCTGGCTGGATGACCTTGGGCAAGCCGTAGTTCTGATAAGAGCTGTTCTTGAAAAAAGAGCAGTTTCTGTCAAGAGCTCTCTCAGCCCCACCTACCTCACAGGGTGTCTATTGTGGGGAGAGGAAGGGAGAGGAGTTTGTAAGCTGCTCTGAGACACCTTTGGGTAGTGAAGGGTGGGGTATAAATCCAATCTCCTCTTCTTTTTCTTTTTAATGTTTTTTATTAAGAAAAACAGTTTACATCAACAATCCAATCCGAAATACAGAATACATAAAACCAACTTGGAGGAGAATATTTAGCAATCGTAACCTTAGTAAAACGAACTAAAACCAGATGTACTACTTCATACTAAAATAAAAAGGTAAATTGAACTCTGCCAATATAAATGAGAAGGCCTATGAAAGTTGACGATAGACCATACTAGTAACGGATCCAGGGGAGATATGAAGACTTTGAAGGAAGAATATCCATTCTCAGATATAAATTGGAGAACTCTTGACCACGTAGCATAAGTTAGTAGGTGGACTTAGGTTAGCCTGGCCATTCTCTTTAATCTCAGTCCCTTTATCTGTGTAACAGGGATGATAATACTGGCTTAAAGGTAAAGGTAAAGGTTCCCTTGCTGGAAAGCCAGTCGAATCCGACTCTAGGGTTGCGGTGCTCATCTCAGTTTCAAAGCCGAAGAGCCAGCGGTGTCCGAAGACGTTTCCGTGGTCATGTGGCCGGCATGACTAAATACCAAGGCGCACGGAACGCTGTTACCTTCCCACCGAAGTGGTACCTATTTATCTACTTGCAGTTTCTTGCTTTCGGACTGCTAGGTTGGCAGGAGCTGGAACTAGAGACGGGAGCTCACTCCGTCATGCAGCAACTCGGGTCTCGAACTGCTGAACTACTGACCTTCCACAGCCTGCCGTTCAGCGTCTTAACCACTTGAGCCACCGCAGCTCCTTTAATGCTGGCTTAGCGAACAGGTTTTTTGTAAGGATTACCAGAACAGTCATAAGGTGGCTGCTGTTGAACAGTAGGAAGCAGCAAGGCCTAGTTGAGTCATGCAAGTGAGATGGTATCAGGTCACTCACAGGCTGCTTTCAGGTCTAGGGTTGCCAACCTCCAGGTGGGACCTGGAGATTTCCCAGAATGCCCACTGAACTCCAGACAACAGGAACCTGTTTGCCTGAAGAAAATAGCTTCTTTGGAGGGTGGACTTTATGACACTATATCCAGCGGAGGCCTTTCTGCTCCCCAAGCCGCGCCTCCTGAGATTTCCCCACAAATTTCCCAACCTGGAGCTGGCAATTCTAGGAGCTGGTGGCTCCTTCCTCAAAAGCCAAAAATAGGCCTGGAATGCTTCCTGCTCCCTCCCCTGCCTGACATAAAAGCTTGGAATGCTGTGGTTGCCTAGCAACAGCCACTGAAGGAGGCCATTGCTTAAAGCTACAGGTGCTCCTTTAGTCACTTTCACATTTTTTTTAAATTGCCCAGTGTTTTTTTTTTTTTAGATTTAAAATTTTTATGCAAACCTGGGGCCCTTTTCAGGTTTGTAAAAGGATCTGTTCGCAGCTCCAGTCTCTGGCTTTAGAATATAAGATAGGTTTGTATGCCACCTTTTGGTACCCCATGTTTACCCCAGGGACCTTATACAATATCAACTATTAATACGATGAAAACACCAGAAGTAAAGGAAGCTATAATGAAATGATGTATTTTTTAAAAATCAGGTAAAGATTAAAACTTACAGAAGCCAGTAAAACAGTTGAGAAAGCCAGGTGAAATAAGTGTGTTAACTGGCTTTCTAGGTAAAGTAAAGGTAAAGGTAATCCCTTGCTCGAAAGCCAGTCAAATCTGACTCTAGGGTTGCGGTGCTCATCTCCGTTTCAAAGCCGAAGAGCCAGCGCTGTCCGAAGACGTTTCCGTGGTCATGTGGCCGGCATGACTACACACCGAGGCGCACGGAACGCGGTTACCTTCCCACTAAAGGGGTACCTATTTATCTACTTGCAATTTCTTGCTTTCAAACTGCTAGGTTGGCAGGAGCTGGAACCAGAGACGGGACCTCACTCCGTCATGCGGCACACACGGGTCTCAAACTGCTGACCTACCGACCTTCCACAGCCTGCAGTTCAGCGTCTTAACCACTTGAGCCACCGCAGCTCACAACTGGCTTTCTAAAGCCTGCCAAAAACAATGGCCATTTTGCTTCTCGGGACAGGACCTTCCACAGTCCGAGTCCTGCTATTCAGAAAACCCTGTAATGGAGTAGGGTGCACATAAAGCAGGGCCTGATCTCAGCATCTGAATAAAGTTCCTGTTGGAGAAAGTGACCTTCAGGTACCCTGGCCCCAAACTGTTCAGTCTTTAAAGATCAAGACCAGCACTTTGAATCATAAGGTAAAGGTAAAGGTTCCCTTGCTCGAAAGCCAGTTGAATCCGACTCTAGGGTTGCGGTGCTCATCTCCGTTTCAAAGCCGAAGAGCCAGCGCTGTCCGAAGAAATTTCCGTGGTCATGTCGCCAGCATGACTAAACACCAAGGTGCACCTAGTTCCAGCTCCTGCCAACCTAGCAGTTCGAAAGCAAGACATTGCAAGTAGATAAATAGGTGTTATGCTGATGGTGAACAAATGGGCAGCCACATTTTAGACTAGCAGAAGTCTTAAGAACTTTGGAAAGGCAGCCCCATGCAGTGTTCCCTCTAAGCTGAGTTAGTGTGAGCTAGCTCACAGTTTTTTTAGCCTCCGTCTCACACCTTTTTGTCAGCTCAGGAAGGATGGCTCCAGAGCAAACTAATTTCTACAGTAGCCAAATCGCTCACGCACAACTTTGATGGCAGTAGCTCACAAAGTAGAATTTTTGCTCATAAGCCTCCACAGCTTAGAGGGAGCATTGGTCCCATGTAGTGTGCATAACACTTGCCTACTCCAGATGTTACTCAAGTGCATGCAAGCAGGTGTTTCCAGCATTACTGAAACCTTTTTTAAAAAAAATACAGTTTGAAGCATCTTTCTTGCCAACTTGAACTATCAAATTACTTGCTATTGTTAAACCTGAAATCTTGTTTTTAGGGGAACGCCCATTTAAGTGCAGTGAATGTGGTAAAGGCTTCTCTCAAAAACACTCTCTCCAAGTTCATGAGCGGATGCATACTGGAGAACGGCCATACACATGTACTGTATGCAGTAAGGCTTTAACAACAAAACACTCACTTCTGGAACACATGAGCCTGCATACAGGTAAATAACAACAAAAATCAATAGTAGTTTAGCTGTGGTAAGAGTGTTCAGTTAAGAAAATAAGAATTGCCATGCTGGATCAGACCAAAAGTACATCTTGTCAAGCATTCGCTTTCCAGCAATAGCCACCCAGGAAAACTTAAAAGCAGGGCACAAAGGCAAGGACATTCCTCTGTTGCTTGTCTGCAGAACCTGTTTAAAAGGTACTCTGCCTTAGACACGGAAGTTCTGTTGAGTATTCTGGCTGATTCATCAACCTCTCTTTCATGAATTTGAAAGCCATCCAAACCTAGAGGTGTGTGCTCTATACTGAGCTGAATAAATACCCAAAAAATACTTTATCCCACCCGAATAAATAGTCATACCCGAATAAAAGCCGATATTATTCAGCCTTTATTTGGGCATGGGTAGAAGGTATTTAAAGAGACCGCGGTCTCTTTAAATGCCTTCTGAGTTCACTCACTGAATCATGCTATAGCAGCAATGTGACTCAGCGAGTGAACTCAGAAGGGATTTAAACTTGCTGAGTGAACTCAGCAAGCATTTAAAGTTTAAATCCCTTCCCCATAGGGTATAATGGAGCCAAATAAATTCGGGTTTCCCAAATATTTACCTGAATCCCAGTTAAAAAATGACATTGGTATTCAGGAATATTCAGGAATACAGATATTTTTCTGGTCCAATAGGCACGAATTGGGGGGAAACCAACTTTTTTTGCACACCCCTAATCCAAACTATTGTTCATTACTGTATCTTCTGGTTGTGAACATAGAGGCAGTTAAATATTTTGAGTTTTCCTGGATAAAATCTAGTGTTGCTTAATGTTTGCAACAATTTTAAATAGTACTGCAGCAAAATCCAACATAGGCTGTACACAGTAATAAGTGTTATGATTTTTATAAAATGTTTTTTGAAATGCTTTTTAAAAAATGTTTATCTTTTAGGTCAGAAGGCTTTTACTTGCGATCAATGTGGAAAATATTTCAGCCAAAAGAGACAACTTAAAAGTCATTACAGAGTTCACACAGGTATAACACATTCAGATGCATAGTGTATATTGCTGGGATGCTTAAGTTTTCAGTGTGCTTCTAATTATATCTCATTTACCTGTAATCATTATCTAATTGTTTGCTGTTAATTGCAAAAAAAGTCTTTAAATCAAAGCTTTAAAAGTATTTTGACACAATGCTTTTTTATTTTAAAAAACAGATGTAAGTCTGACAAAGTACCAGTGAATATTAATTCCCTAGTATTTATGAAGGAGGTTTTAAATTCAGTTTTGTTAATTATTTTTTCCAATAGTGCTGTCGATTTAAAGCTTCTAATAAGAAGCCATCTAATTATGGAGCATATATCACTTAGTGGCAGTCTTCAAAATTGTTATGTGTTTGCTGATTTATTCTAGCTTTTTACCATGCCTAAATGGTGAAATTGGCTTAAATAAAAAAAATCATAAAATACTGGCAGCAAATCATAAAATCCAATAAAATGCTGCAGCAGTGGCAGAACTGAAAGAAGCAGAAGACAACCAGTTCCTCTGGGGGCCTCATCCGGCCCCCGGGCCGCATGTTTGACACTCCTTCCTAAGATCATGGATTTTATTTATTTTCTTCTTCTTTTTATAAGGCCATTCATTGCCAGAGTGTAGCCAATGCCATCGCAAATTCATGGATGCATCGCAGTTAAAGAAACATTTAAGAACACATACAGGTAATACTACTCTTTTCTGTAAAACAAAATTAGTTGTCTGAGTGATGTCACAGACAGGGTTTGGCAGTTGGGCACTCAGTTAAATGAGATTTGGCTGCTGGGCCAATAGACGGAGCAGCCTGCTTTCCTACGGGGAGAGTCTTAGCTGGGCACATCCTTTGCAAGAGGGAAGGAGACGCACAAATGAAGTCAGAGGCAGCAACGTGCGCAAGAGAATTGACAGCATTGTCGCGAGTTCTTACTTTGCGAGTCCTCACGGTGCTGTATCCATGGAGTGCAGCACTTCAGTGATGAGAAGTAGGACTCTTGAGTGGTGAGAGTAGATGGCTGTGGCACTGCTCTGTGAGGCCACGTGGCCTAGCTCTCCTGACGTTCTTGGAACACTGCAGAAGGAACATGAGTTGCCATAGCGCTTGCCCGGCTGTATTTGGGACTTGGAGTGACATAGCTGCTATCTTGTATTGGGTGCAAGATTTGTTGTTTGTGTGAATAAGGGTCCGCTGCTTTTCTGCTGCTTTTTAAACTCCTTATAAGCTGGGGGCCTCATCCGTTGGTGTAGTGGTTAAGTGCGCGGACTCTAATCTGGGAGAACCGGGTTTGATTCCCCACTCCTCCACTTGCAGCTGCTGGATGACCTTGGGCAAGCTATAGTTCTGATAAGAGCTGTCCTTGAAAAAGAGCAGTTTCTGTCAAGAGCTCTCTCAGCCCCACCTACCTCACAGGGTGTCTGTTGTGGGGAGGGGAAGGGAAAGGAGTTTGTAAGCTGCTCTGAGACTCCCTTGGGTAGTGAAGGGCGGGGTATAAATCCAGTCTCCTCTTTTCTTCTTCTTCAAATCAGTCCTAAATGACTGGGCTAACTAAATGTGTTGTTTTTTTAAAATGTATTGAACAATATTACAAACTGACAATTGAATGGAGCGCAATCAACCAAGAGCAGCAAAAGATAAATACAAACAGCTCCAAATATCACAACACTTCTTAACAGATAGAAATTAGCATTAGAGACTTCAATATAGCATGAAAAGGAATAATTGGCTAAATGTGTTTGTTGACAGCCCTCTTGATATGCCCCATTCTAAGCAATTGTATACTGGCAAAACAAAATGTAGGAATGAGCTGTTGTTATCTTATTAGTGGTATGCTACCTGCATACCCTATCCTAGTGCATTGTAAGTGCTAAGTTATTGTTTAATTAATCGGTGATAGCTTACTAATACAGCAACGTATTTTTGTTAGGTGAAAAACCATTCACTTGTGAAATCTGCGGCAAGTCTTTCACCGCAAAAAGCTCTCTTCAGACTCACATCAGAATCCACAGGTACACAACCATTTTCTTCATTCCATGTGAGTTTATATAGGAAACTTGTGTAAAACCATCTCAATGTTACTTATCTGGGGCAATTTAAGGTAGCCTGGCATTTGACTACTACAAGTACAAATTAAGAGAATGCTTTTTTAGACACCTCCATCTATTACAATAAATCGATAACTACACTCACCATGGTTTTTCAGTCTCTGCACAAACCTATAGGCCTTCAAGTTAGAGAACAAATGAGTGTGCTCTTTTTCTGTCATTTTAGATGAGAAATGATGCATATAAAAAGTTGTGTATCCTTATGAAAGAAGTCTGTGGTGGTAGGGGAATGAAACCACAGCCGCTTCTCAAAATCATGCTAACAAATGTTTGGTGGCAGGTTCCTGATGTGGTTTTCCTCCAAAGAAATATAAAAAACTGTATTCTGTGAGGCCACTGAATACCATCATATGTATAAAAATGTTTTTCTTGGTCAAACACAGCACTAAAAGTTAGGAAAGTGGAGGGACAAAAAGGAACTGGAGGAGCCAGTTTGGTGTAGTGGTTAAGTGCACGGACTCTAATCTGGGAGAACCGTGTTCGATTCCCCACTCCTCCACTTTCACCTGGTTGGATGACCTTGGGCAAGCCGTAGGACTGTCAGAGCTGTTCTTGAAAAAAGAGCAGTTTCTGTCAAGAACTCTCTCAGCCCCACCTACTTCACAAGGGTGTCTGTTGTGGGGAGGGGAAGGGAAAGGAGTCTGTAAGCCACTCTGAGACACCTTTGGGTAGCGAAGGCCGGGTATAAATCCAACCTTCTCCTCCTCCTGATACATTCTATATGGATGCTAGATATATATGTATAAAAATGTAGAGGCTCTGGCTCATTTATTTATTTTATTTTATTTATAAACCCACTCTCCCCGAAACAGGCATAGAGTGGGTGACAACAATTTATAAACATACAGTACAAAACCTTCTAAAAAACAACAATCAATACAAAAGAGCCAGTTTGGTGTAGTGGTTAAGTGCGCGGACTCTAATCTGGGAGAACCGGGTTTGATTCCCCACTCCTCCACTGGAACCTGCTGATGTGACCTTGGGTCAGTCGCAAGCTCTGGCACAGCTGTCCTTGAAAAAGAGCAGTTTCTGTCAAGAGCTCTCTCAGCCCCACCCACCTCACAGGGTGTCTGTTGTGAGGAGGGGAAGGGAAAGGAGTTTGTAAGCCGCTCTGAGACACCTTTGGGTAGTGAAGGGCGGGGTATAAATCCAATCTCTTCTTCTTCTTCTTCTTCTTCTTTATAAGACAGCTACTATGAAATTTTAAGATGGTGTAAAATTCACTCAGAGGGCAATGCACTACATATATAGAAGGGAAGAGGGGGGGGGGTGCAGTGGGGGGGAAGAAGGGAGGCCAGAACTAACTGTAGCCTATCGTCTGGAGGTCCAGTATTGTCCTCAACCCGGCGGAACAACTCTGGGCTTTTTCGGTGGTGGCTCCACTCTGGTGGAATGAGCTCCCAGAGGAGACCGGGACCCTACAGGACCTTCTACAGTTCCGCAGGACCTGCAAAACAGAGCTCTTCCACCAGGCCTTTGGAGCCACCACCACCACTACCAGTTAGTAACAACAGTTAACTATGGTGGAAGCCCTGAGCCATTGGTCCCTGTGACTACCGCCCGCCTTAGTTTCCCCTAACTGAAGCAGGCCGATAGAATTAAAGCAAAAGCTGGAATTTGCTAGCACTTTAACACTATACTTGATTTTAATATTGTTTAATATTGTTGTATTATTTTATTAGGAACTGTATTAGAGTAATGAACTGTGTTTTGTGTATTATGAGAGTTTTTACCCTGTCGTGAGCCGCCCTGAGCCAGCCTAGGCCAGATGGGCGGGATAAAAATCAATAAAATCAATAAATAAAATAAATAAATTTTGCCAGATCCCACAGGGCCCTGATCTCTCCTGGAAGAGTGTTCCCCCAGGCCAGAGCCAGGGCCGAAAAGGCCCTGTCCCTGGTCAAGGACAGCTGGATGCTCTTTGGGCTGGGGATCGCCAGTCGATTTTGATCACTTGAGCGTTCACACTCTACGGGGGACGTACCAGGACTAGAGATGTAAAATTTCCGGAAATTTTGAAGCTCGGGAAAAAACGGAAATTTTCGGAAAAATTGAAAAAAAATGCTACATTAGCATTTCTTTTGTCTTTTCTAGATTGAAAGTCATTCTGTTACTTTAGGAACATAAAATTTGACTATGGACATTTTTACTTGCCATGAAATTATCACAACTAGCATATTAAAAATATAGTGTATCCAAACAATTATTACAAAGAGAATACCCACCCAACAGGCAAAAACAAAACTGAAACTTTTTTATTTTCTTCTGACAATCGCACCTCCTAAAGGAAGAAATGCATCTTGTTCTTGCATTGGAGAGTTCAGTTTGTAACCTAGGACTTGCTTGTAACCAAGTTTGTAACCAAGGACTGAGAGTAAAAAGCCTACCGTTCTTGTGAAAGCTAAGAAGAAACTAGCTGGGGACAAGGAATCAATCTGATACCATATATATATATATATATATATTTTAGAAATGATTTAGAAAATATTTGAACACCTTGTCTTAAAATATTTTATTCCTCATGTTAAAATAAAACGTTCCATAATCAATTTTTTTCTTTTCTTTTCTTTTTTCAATTTTTCCAATTTTTCGGAAAAAAACAAAAAAGGCTTCAGGAAAAAAACGGAAAAAACCCGTTTCCCCCCCGATTTTTTCCGGTTTTTTTCCGGGCCTTCACATCTCTAACCAGGACAGGGAGTCCAGACTTTAAACGAGTCTCTTGGTAATCTTGAACTAAAGGTTGGGAAGCTGGAGGCAGACAACTTGAAGCAAAGAAGAGTGAAATCCTCTGCTCACATGTTCTGGCCATTCTTTTCCACTTCGGCTTCCCGGTTGGACTGGGGACATTGTCGGGAAAAGGACTCTGTGACCTAAGAGAGAGGCGAAGGATTTTGCAGTGCTACCTGAGCCTGCAGAGGGCTACTCAATAATCTGGGTTACCCCGTTTAGTAATCCACAAGACCTCTCTTTCATATCGGTGGGCAGTGGTAGATAATATAAAATCTCAGTACCTTCAGAATATTCTAAATCCCAGTGTTGCTTGAGGAAAGCCATTGCTGTCGAGTTGGTTTAAAACTGATTGAGGGCGTAGTATAGACATGCTTAGAAGAGAAGAGATTGGATTTATACTCCGCCCTTCACTACTCAAAGGAGTCTCAGCGTGGCTTACAACACTCCTTTTCCTTCCCCTCCTCACCACAGACACCCTGTGAGGGAGGTGGAGCTGAGGGAGCTCTGACCGAAACTTGCTCTTTTTAAAGAACAGCTCTTATCAGAACTACGGCTTGCCCAAGGTCATCCAGCCAGGTGCAAGTGGAGGCGTGGGGTTTGATTCCCCACTCCTCTACTTGCACCTGCTGGATGACCTTGGGCAAGCCATAGTTTTCTCAGAACTGTTCTTGGAAAAAGAGCAGTTTCTGTCAGAGCTCTCTCAGCCCCACCTACCTCACAGGGTGTCTGTGGTGGGGAGGGGAAGGGAAAGGAGTTCGTAAGCCGCTCTGAGACACCCTTGAGTAGTCAAGGGCGGGGTATAAATCCAATCTCCTCCTCCTCCTCCTCCTTCTTGTGTTCTGCCAAAAAATTAATGTGCCTGATACAGCCAAAATGTCTTCTTCTGTTTATAGAGGTGAAAAACCATATTCGTGTGGGATTTGTGGGAAATCCTTTTCTGATTCCAGTGCCAAGAGGAGACATTGCATCTTACACACTGGCAAAAAGCCTTTCTCTTGCTCAGAGTGCAACGTGCAGTTTGCGCGCTTGGACAATCTGAAGTCTCATCTGAAGATTCACGCCAAAGAAAAGCAACTGCAGGAAGTGAGCAGTGTTCCCAACAGCAGTGGTGCAGAGGAAGTGAGGAACATCCTCCAGTTACAGCAGTACCAGCTGTCCGCCACCAGTGCACAAGAGATCCAGCTGCTGGTTACCGATTCCGTGCACAACATAAATTTCATGCCCAGCCACAACCAAGGTATTAGCATTGTCGCCGCTGATGGCTCCCAGAATGTGATGACAGACCATTCCGGTAGCCTCACCCTTCTTACCCAGCCCCCCCAGCAATTGCAGAACTTGCTTCTTTCATCCCAGCCGGAGCCGGCAGACCAGATGCAGAGCATCAGCATGGTGAGCGGCCAAATGGAGCCTGCCCAGGCCGAGCAAATGCACGTCATCACGCTGTCGAAAGAAGCTCTGGAGCATCTCCACGCCAGTCAGAGTCCAGCAGAGGTGCTTCAGATAGCGACAGGGACACCCCATCCGGCCCAGCATTTGCAGGTGCCCCAAGAACCGAGCCACTTCCGCATCAGTCAAGATGCGGTCCTGCCTCCTCCGGAAATGAGCAAAGGACAGGCCCAAACAGGACATGTCTCCGAACCACCTCAGCAGCCCCTCTGACTGTTGACCAGTCATCTGGTGACCATCGTACCGAGAGGCGGACTTTTTAAAAATGCAGGCTGGTTTGCTTCTTATTTATTTAATAACAGGAGTGAAATGAAGTCTTTCATACCAACTCCATTGTGTTTGGTCCATTTACTCTTTAACTTTGACACTGATGGATGCCTTATTGTAGTTGGGATGCGTTTCCCCCCCAAAAAAAACAGCTTTATGTACTTAAGATTAATAAAATCGTTTCATCTGTGTATTCCATATTTTTTTCACCTGAATTGCAGTGAGTAATGAGGTACTGTGACCCTGATCTCGGCAGAGTTCATTTACTTCGACAATCCTATTAATTTTTTTTTAATACGTTTTTATTGTTTTTGTCAATAACCTTAACATTACATACATCAAATACGTTTTGATTCTAAATTAATAAGGATAATTACATACATTCTTAACATCTATTCTCGCCATACAGCACTAGTAAGTCACCAAGAGTCTGACCATTATAGATTACCTGCTATAGCCTGTAAATATAACCATTTATGATAGATCTGCTTAGCAGGAAGAATATCCTTCGTTACCATGTAGTCTAACACAATGACCCAAGTCCTAACAAATTTGGTGTAGGTTGGCGTGTTACTGTTATTCGCTCTCATCAGGGAGTCTGTAATTTTTGCCATTATAAACTGATCCCAAATTTTCTCTTGCCATGTTGAAATTGTAGGGAGATAAGGAGATTTCCAAGCCGCTGCTATTGTTAACCTGGATGCAGCTAATAACGTCGAAATAAGTTCCTTACTGCCCCCTGTACTCAAATCTTTCCAGAGATTTAACAGCACCACTTCCGGATTGCATGGTAATGTCTGCCTGGTTATCTCATTAATCTGAGATATCACACTTCTCCAAAAAGATTTTATTCCTAGACAGCCCCACCAGCAATGAAAGTATGTCCCTATCTGACCGCACTGCTTCCAGCAAACATTACGTATTGATGGTTTAATTTTATGTAGCTGTTGTGGAGTAAGGTACCAACGAGAAGTCAATTTGAAGAATTGAAGACGAATATTATATATGGAAGACTTGTTCGCTGGCGAAGCCCAGATGTATGCCCAATCTGACTCTTGAAAGGTAAGATTAAGATCCTCTTCCCATCTGTTTTGATATGCTAGTTTATTTGTGTTGTCTGCTTTTATTAATATTTTATATATCTTAGAGAGCACTCCCTTTGGCGATCTTGTAGATACCATAATCACTTTTTTCCCCCTATTAATTTTAATGGTGGAGAGCTCCAACTCTACCCTTGAAACCAATGAGATGTAAAAGGGTTTCACTTTGACTGGATCTTGTCGTATAGGTTTAACGAAGTTTAAAACGGATACATTTGATGGTTTTTCTCCTCCTCGTTCCTTTTATGCAGATTGGGCCCAGTGGAGACCCCACCCCACCCCAAAAAAGAGCCCACTCTAGATTTGGAATGTACTTGTGTTCGTATGAACTAGAGATGTATGAGATCTGACCGTTCATTTCTGTAGCATTTTGACTTTCACCTCCCCCTGTGCTCTTGGATATCTCCACAGTCTATGAAGTATCTCAGATGTATTTTGAAGGGTTCCTTTTCTGTGCTCCCCCCCCCCAGCCTGAGTAAGCATTTCAACGAACTGATGCTTATTACTATTGCTGGCTGACCCCTGTGTATTGACATTCTACGTGTACAAATGCATGCAGAGTACTGCCCACCGTTTTCATTCCATTTTTTGCATCCCTGCCTTGATACGTAAGACGATGTGCATGCTGAGAAGGGAAGATGAGCACAGTTGGATCTGCAAGCGGCACGTGCACGTTCTGGAAAATGGCGGTTATAAGCTTAAAAAAAAAATGTCCTGACTCAGTCCTAGTCATGCAGAGCTACAGGTGACTGTGAAGGGGGAAAGCACATTGGAATGTTCATCCTACATAATGGTGACACCGTTAGCGGCACTCAGGTATTCTGAAGTACCTTCAGCTTCTGTTGTGTGCTCTCTCTCTCCTCCTGGCATGCACAAGAACTAGGGTTGCCAAGTCCTTACTGTATGTAGAGTGGGGGACTCCAGCGCTGCTCCGGGAATCCGTGCATGCGCGCAAAGCATGCGTGCGCCACAACCACATCACCTGGAAGTGACGCAACCACGTCGGGCATGCCGGGGGCGAGGCCACAGTCATCCAAGGGAAAACCATAGTTTTCCCTCGGATGACCGCAGCCCCGCCCCCAACGCGCCCGACGCGACTGCGTCACTTTTGGGTGACGTGCTGACGCAGAGCACGTCGCATGCTTTGGGGGTGGGGTTCCCCCCGGGGCCCGATCCACCGATGACGGGTAATGGACCTCTCTGGCAGGGTTTTCCCCGCCCCCGGGGGGACTTGGCAAGCCTAACAAGAACTTCTACATCCAACTGCCACTTTTTTATGCAAAGTAAATGGAATAGAATCAGGCATAAGGAAGATTCCAGTAATTATCGGTGCCAGCATTACAATAGCCATGTTGGAAACGGAGCCTTGCAAGATTACTGTGGCATTGCTAGTGTTAACCATGGTTAATGGTTAGAAATAACACTGAACTATGAAAAGGGAAGGCAGTGGGAATTGGTGCTTAAGAGGGAAGGAGGCAAACAACGCGGAGACCAATTTCCCACGAGCCGCTGCTCCGCTGTCGCTCTTCCCTTTGCCCCAATCGTATCTGTCAATTTCCCACTATTTGCTGCGTGGCTGCATTTTGCCCCGCAGCTTCACCCGATTTCCCCACGTCTACTCAATCTTGTTTTTTGAGGAGCCAGTAGATGTGGGGGAAATTGGGCAAAGCTGTGGGGCAAAATGTGGCCGCACAGCGAATAGTGGGAAATTGACGCATACAATCAGGGCAAAGGGAAGAGTGAGGGCAGAGCAGCGGCTTGTGGGAAATCGGTCGCAGACTTCTTCTGACTCTTTAATGGTAGTTAAAAGGCCAGAGCTTTGTCACATCCTATCTGTATTAGCCCTTGGACTAGTACTGTCTCCAATTCACTAGAAACAGAAATGGTATGCTTTAACTGCAGTCAGGGCACCTGGTATTTTGTGATTTATGTTATTCCTGCCCCAGAGCCCCAAGTGTGCTGCACACCTAAAACTACCACACGAACAGGCACCCAGTTCACTTCCATGAAAGGGCCAGTTCTGCACACATACAGAGGTGATCTTTTCTTTTATACAAACAGAATCCTTTGTGGGTGGGGGAACTGTGTATTTGTGTGAATTCCTATGGTAAACTACTGGATCGGGGCCGCTGCCTTTTGTTCCTTATATGAGCTCATCCTAATGTATGTACTGCAATGGTGGTACTATTGGCTGCCTGGTTAGAATAAACTGTTGGGAAGCCTGGGTTCATTTATTTCCTGTACCATCCGTGTATTTTGTAACCATATCCCAAATCATTTAAATATTTCTGTGCCTTAGCTTTTACAACTGCAAAATGGAAATAAGCAATGCCTCCACAAAGCACCTTGATTGTTCTCAGGTGAGAAAGTTCTAAAAAATGCGCAACATATTTTTACCATAAAATTCAGCTGTTATTTTTAAATCATATTTTGTTGTAAAAATATATTTTATTGTGGGTTAAAATGGCTTCATACAAGGTAGTTGAGCTGCATATAAAGATTCCCTCCCCCCAACCCCCCCCCCATAATTACAGTTTTTTCAGAAAACACATTTCAGTCAGTTCCTTAAAAATGATAAAAGAATTTGTTGCTTGACTTGTTAAAACTAAAAAGTATGTGGCAGAATTATTGTGTATAACATGTGGAATGTTGTTTAAAAATATTCAGCAAAAAGAAATTCAGCCACTATATATTTAAATACCTCACTAAACCGATGAATAAAAAATAGGCAGTTTCACCAGCTAAGCATTAAAAAGGTGATGCTTGTGTATGTGCAAATGTTCTTTGTAAAATGAAGCTGTTTTGCCTTAAAATAAGAGGGTGGGAGAAGTGTACATAAATGTGTTCCAAACATCTCTACCTAGCATTTTTCTCTGTAGGATTTTCCTGTATGCTTCCAGCTTCACTTGCTAGCCAGAATCTCATTCCTGGGGATTTTGAATCCTCTTTTTTCAATCTTCCTGCTTGTTAATAAAAATCCACCCATTGCATGATTAACTCAGCTGCAGAAATACGTAGGAGAAGCATGCATACTCCTTTTCTGGGCATTATCAACTTTTAAATAAAGTACAGGAGTGTTGTTTCAGAAATGAATTAGTTCCCCAACTACAAAAATATAACCTCATTCGGGGATGTCAAACCAGTGGCCCAGGGGCCGGATCAGGCCCCCGGAGGGCTTCTCTCAGGCCCGCAGTGGAACTGGCTGTCTTCTGCTGCTTCTTCCAGTTCTGCTGCTGCTGCTGCATCATCGTAGGTTTGCAGCTTACAGATACACACTTGAACAGCATACTCAAGATTGCAACAGCACAGACATTTTGATGCAATAATTCAGAGCAAGAAGTGTCAGTTATCAGACACTGTTAAATAAACAAAATATTGCAAGAGTGCTAATGTTTTAAGCATGTTTCTATTTTAAGTAAAAAAACCCACCCCTTTGTGTTTGTGTCCTTTATAAAGTCTATATCTCCGCTACCTGGCATTACATTTTATGGCACACATGGCCCGGCCCAACAAGGTCTCATTTATGCCAGATCTGGCCCTCATAACAAATGAGTTTGACACCCCTGATCTCCTTTATTTCCCCATGGAAAAATCCTACATATAGCTGGAGCACAGCAAAAACCAACTGAGGCACAGACCAGTACAAGGACTCCAGGACCAACCAGCAAACAGGGAAGTGAAGGGCACACAATAAAAGGCAGGCGGAATAAAACTGTAAAAAAAAACCAACAACCCCGCACTGCACAGCCACCAAGCAAATGAGAAAGGGTGAGTGAGTGGGAAGAGGCAGCAGTCCCCACAGACCACCCAGGCACTGGTGGAGTTCAAGGTTCTGCGATCCAGCATGTCCTACCCCAGCAGTGCCGGAAGGTGGTTGAGCGAGAAGAGGCCGAGGCTGTGCACCTGGGGCAGCAACAGCCAGTTGGCAAGCAGGAGGAGGAGATGAGTGGGTGGCCGTGGAGAGCAACCTTGGCATGGCGAGCCACACAGACAAAAAGAGAAAATCCCACCAACCCAGTGTCAGCTATGCTGCCATGGGGTTGGGGAGTTCATTCTGTGTCTTGTTAATTGTTATTGCATTCCTATCCCTGCTGCTCTGCCTTTTGCTGAAACGCTTATCTCTACAGATGTGCAGGAGGAGGTTGTGTTGTCTGGAGGGCTCCTATGTACCGTGAGAGACTCCTGGTTCTCAGCTTTAGCCACCTAACAGTTGCCTGACTTATCCCGCGCGTGGGAGGGTCCCTAATTGGCCAATGTCATGGGGGGGTCATACGAATACCCTATATCCTATTATACTCTAGTGGCTGTGGCCATTCCTAACAGTGCCTGTGTTACTGCATGTATAACTTTGCAATAAAAGTATAACCGTTCCTGAATGCGTGTACTTCGTTGTTAGCTCTGGGTTCTGACACCCAGACTGTAGCAAGTGGCCTGACCCTTCTGTCTTCCTGGGGCAGCTCCAACCATCTCGGCAGCCAGCAGGTGAGAACGTGGAGGAGGCGAGTAGGTGGTGGCCCCCAATGGCCCCCGGGAGAGCTGCAGCATGACGAGCCACACAAAAGAAACACACACCCCCAAGGAAATCCCCTCCTTTCAGCAGGGAGACAGTTTTTGCATTTCTGTGCTTTGCCGTGTATCTCTCTCTCCCGCCTCCCCACCGTTTTCTGCTCACCTTTCAGGTGCAGTCTGACTCATGCATGTCAAACCATTTCCTGCCAAGTGCCATTTCCCACCCATCTGCCCTCCTCATGGCTCCAGCACTCTCAGCAGGTGAGGAGGAGGAGGACCTGAGCGGGCGGCAGCGGAGGCATCAGCAGCCCTGGCTGCGCCCAGCAGAACCACTATGGCATGATGTGCCACAAAAAGAAGAAGGGCATTCCCCCAGGCAGAGGGGGGCGTTTTTGCATTTCCACACTTTGCAGTTTCTCCCGCTCATCATTATCTGCTCCCCTTCCGGGTTCATCATTCTTGCTCCTGCCATTAGTCCTCTCGCTCGTGCTCTCGCTGACCTTTTAGGCCAATGCTATGCTGGGGATTATTAGGAAGGGTATTGGAAACAGATCAGCCAATATCATAATGCCCCTGTATAAATCAATGGTGCGACCTCATTTAGAATATTGTGTACAGTTCTGGTCACCAAACCTTAAGAAGGATATTATAGCTTTGGAAAAAGTGCAGAAAAGGGCAACTAGGGTCCCTGCCACACGGGGGGGAAGGTACGGGCAAAGTGTGGCTTTTGGAAGCTGCACCAAAATAGAGATGCCGCGGCGGGATCACATTGATCCCCTGAGCCGCGGCACATTCCCTCCCCGGCACGATCAGATGCCGGGGAAAGCCACAGTGGGGAAAGGGAGGCTGCCGAACTGCGCATGTGTGAGCATGCGCAGTTCAGCCAGGACCCTGGGATGCGCTGGCAGAAAGACCCGCCGGTGATCCCACGGCCGGGCTTGATGCGGCCGTGCTGGAAGGTCCACTTCGGTAGGTGGTTTAGTTTTGCTGCGGCTTTTCGGGCGGAAGGGCCGGATCGGGGATGGGTGCGCAACACTTCCCAGATGTTGTGGTGGGATCACGCCCGTTTGCTGCGCCCCCGATCCGTCCCTCTCCTGGCCCAAAACCTTTTGTGTGACCGGGTCCTAGAATGATAAAAGGGTTGGAACACTTTCCCTATAAAGAAAGGTTAAAGCGCTTGGGGCTCTTTAGCTCAGAGAAATAACGACTGAGGGGTGACATGATCGAGGTTTATAAGATTATCCATGGGATAGAGCAGGTCGAGAAAGAGGTACTTTTCTCCCTTTCTCACAATACAAGAACTCGTGGGCAGTCCATGAAATTGCTGAGCGGTCGGGTTAGAACGGATAAAAGGAAGTCCTTCTTCACCCAGAGAGTGATTCACACATGGAATTCACTGCCACAGGAGGTGGTGGCGCAGTAGTGTGAGGGCTCCTAGTGTCCTGGCCCCACTGCTGGACCTCCTGATGGCACCTGGTATTTTTGGTCACTGTGAGACAGAGAGTGTTGGACTAGATGGGCCATTGGCCTGATCCAACATGGGCTTCTCTTATGTCCTTACGCTCATGGCTCTAGCTTGTGCTGCTTGGCCCCTCGTGCTGCTCCAAGCAATGAAGGGGTGGGATTTGTGTGGGAACAGGTGGCCATGGCTTTTGGCCCTATCCACTTCATTCATGGAGAGGGGGGAGAGTAGAGAGCCCCAAAGTGCACGCTTCCCTCTGCAGCTAAAAGGATGTTTCCCTCCTGTTATGTACTGAGTCCTGATCTGTATCGGGAAACTGACCAAGCTTGGACACCAGAACAATAGGTAGCCAGGATCCTGGAAGGAACCTATAGAACAGGAGTTGTAATGTAAATAGCCTACAACAGCGAGTAGATAAATGGGTACCTGCCTTAGGTGGCAGGGGGCACCCTCCTCTGTTGTGAGGTGTGGTGGGAGCATCGGCGGCGGCAGAGCGACGAGCAGCAGCGGTGAGCAGAGCGATGAGCGGCGGCGGCGAGATCGGTGAGGCGAGCCCTGGTGGCCAGCAAGTGCAACATCAAGCGGTGGAACGGATGACGGCAGAGGCGGAGACGGAAGGCGCGGTGACGTGGAGGCGCAGGTGCGGCAGAGCCGAAATGGACATTAGCCGGAGCCGTGCTGACGCGAACCGCGGACCAGATGGGCCCGCTAAAGAAAGCCACCAAAATGGAAAGACCTATCGCTGGCTGCCAGGATGGAAGTACCGACCCCGAAGACCGCTAGAAGAAGAAGGAGGAGCCGAGCCGGAGAATAGCAGCCCCACCACCTGGGTGCCGGTAGGCAGCCCCGCCCATGTACCATGTGGCCATAGAGAGGGAAAAAGTAGACTTAGACTTCTATGTAAGCCGCCCAGAGACCCTTCGGGGTCAGGGCGGTATATAAGCTGAATGCTAAATAAATAAATAAATCACAGGGAGTGTGTGTGTGTGTGTGGGGGGGTGTTGTGCACGCATTTAAGCAGGGCTCCAGCCCTGCTAGAGTTGTCTTGGAGTTTAGTTAATCACCAATAAACTACGAGCTGATCACTACACGAATCTCGAACCCAGTATATTTCACCTCCACGTCTCTCTCACCACTTCTCACCTGCAGAGAGGGGGGTGGTGGCACAGCAGTGGTGGGTAGTACCTCCCACGGCGGGAGGAGCAGATGCAACTAGGGTTGCCAAGTCTTACCTTGTCTGTAGCGAGGGGAGTCCAGGACCCTGCCCTGAGTCTTCTTGTGCATCGGGCACGTTGGGGGCAGGGCTACAATCATACAAGGGCCCCCAAGTGGTGGCAGATGTGGGGAAGGAGCCGGGTATTCCTTTAATTTGATTAGCCAGTGCCCCCTAAGAAATGTAAATGCCCCCCTGACTAAAAAAATCCTGGCTACAGGCCTGCTTAGCAGTCTGGTTTTCCCCCCCACACACATGGGTGTTTTTCGTTGGCTGTGGCCCCTTTGGGTGCCGTGGCATCTTGGCGGATTACTGATTGCATCTGGCTACAATGCAGGATCATCACTGAGATCCGGGAATGGTTCAAAAGCATGTATACGGGCTTGCTGGCAGGAATAATCAGGAAGAACTCTTAACTTCTTTCGCTGCTGAAGCATGATGAAAAATTACTAAAACCCTCTGGAGTCTCCACTGTACTGGTAGAGCTGGAGTCGACCATACAGTCTGTGTTCTCAGGCACACCTCTGTTCTGAAAGAAACAGTTAGTAGTGCAATTTGCCTCCAGTGTCTGCCCCCCCCCCCATAAAGTTTATTTTTTTTCCAGGTTCCTGATTTGGGTGGGTGGGGTGGAGATGTTGGTCCATGGTGGGAATGTGGCTTGTGTGTGATGTATAATATGGTTCTGAAAGTGTTTCTTTCACAGCTACAGACTTGGGCAATCGTGACCTCCCCCCCCCCCTCTACCTGATCTGTTTCCCAAAAGGTAAAGCCACTCTGCAATTCTGCGTTCTATCCACTGGCATTATTTCCCACAAGAGGCTCCATAAGCAGCAGTGTTGTGTGCGTGGGTCACCGTGGGTGCCCTTTTCCTCTGTCCCATGTGCAAAACCGGCACAAGCAGCAGAGAAGCTTCTACAATCTGGCAGCCTGGAAAAGGATCCAGTTTCCTAACAACAGCAGAGATGCTTGAACAAAAGCATTCTTCTGGAGAAACCGGACACTCCAAAGCAGCATCGATTGGTTACCAGGCACGCACGCAGCTGCTGTCAGAGGTGGAGTCTGTTGCCTAGGTTACAGCATCAGCCAGACAGGAGGGGGTCATAGGCTTCTGGTTCTCAACGGTCCTGCACCTCAAGAGTCCTTGGCTCGCAACAGTTGCCAGCGCCGTGTGCAAAGGAAAGAGGGAAGCATGAACAGCAGGGCACCCGTCAGAGCAACCAAACCCATCCTTGCTTTCCTCGTGTGTGCTGGGAAAGTAGAGGTCAGCACATGGCCCACTTCACTGCAGCAACTGGCCTACCAAGTGCATAATGCTTTTCAAAATAGTGCAAAGCGCAGGTGCTTCTCAGAGGTAGGTGCAGGTTGATCCAGGATATTGGCTTGGTTTGGGGGGTTTTTTGAGGTTTTTTCGCATTATTACTGGAAGTTTTCCTCTTTCTTTGTTCAACCTTTTTCTTTGCATTGTCCAGGCTGCTGTTGTCGCCGGTTGCTTCTCTGAAGGGTGTGCTCTGTCTTCTGCCTATTCCTCCACAAAAGGAAGTAAATATTGCTGCAGCTGGCACCGTCACAAGCAGTCGGTTAACTGTGCAATTCTAAACGGGGTTATGTCATTCGAAACCCACTGAAGTCAATAGCAAAGAAGGGTGTGTAACTCCGTTTAGGATTGCACTGTAAGATCACAGTGCTGTTGGCTCAGAAGCAGAAGATAGTCTGTACAGCAACAAGAGTACCCGTATTGGTCTGTTGAAGCACCTTATAGACATAACGAATTTTAAGGACTCCTGTTTTAAACAGCGAAAGTAACCCTTGCTTACTTCATGGTACCTTTCCCAAACCACTCTCATTCTCTTTTAAATGTCAGCAAACTATACTTTTGTGTGTGTGTGGGGGGGGAGCATCCAACTTTTAATTTTTTTGCATCTTCAAAAAAAAATTACACACACATATATCTATTCCATCTATTTAAATCTTTTTTGCATCATTTAATGCATCATGTTAATACTTCTGCTTTGCTTTCAGTTCTGTTATTAGACTTCGGGCTTGTTCTACAACCCTAATTCCTATTGCATTGTTTATTGTTTATTATCTTGTCAAGGATGGGCAAGTGGGCGTCAACATGGCAAATGGGGTTCAATGTGGTCAAGTGCAAGGTGATGCACATTGGAAACAAAAAGCCCAGCAGGAACTCATTAGCATAATTGGCCACACCCAACAGCAGAAACTCATTAGCCTATTAGGCCACACCCCCGACAGCACAGCTCATTAGCACATTAGGCCGCACCCCCGTGTTACCAGAAGTCTGGTCATCCAGCCACACCCACCTGTTGCTTCTTATTCTGTTTACCTTGTCTGTTGTCAAAACCAGGGCTTTTTTTGTAGCTGGAACTCCTTTGCATGTTAGGCCACACACCCCCAATGTAGCCAATCCTAATGAGTTTCCGCTGTTGGGTGTGGCCTGTTATGCTAATGAGTTCCTGCCGGGCGTGACCAACTCGGGAGACAGCCGGAACTCCATTCCTGTGCGTTCCTGCCCCAAAATAGCCCTGCCTAAATATAAATACACATTGATGGGGTCTGAACTGGCAGAGACTGATCAAGAGAGAGATCTTGGAGTTGTAGTAGATAACTCACTGAAAATGTCGAGACAGTGTGTGACTGCAATAAAAAAGGCCAATGCTATTCTGGGGATTATTAGGAAGGGTATTGAAAACAGATCAGCCAATATCATAATGCCCCTATATAAATCAAAGGTGCGACCTCATTTGGAATACTGTGTGCAGTTCTGGTCACCACACCTTAAAAAGGATACTATAGTTTTGGAAAAAGTGCAGAAAAGGGCAACTCGAATGATAAAAGGGTTGGAACACTTTCCCTATGAGGAAAGGTTAAAGCGCTTGGGGCTCTTTAGCTCGGAGAAATAACGACTGAGGGGTGACATGATCGAGGTTTATAAGATTATGCATGGGATAGAGCAGGTCGAGAAAGAGGTACTTTTCTCCCTTTCTCACAATATAAGAACTCGTGGGCATGCAATGAAATTGCTGAGCGGTCGGGTTAGAACGGATAAAAGGAAGTCCTTCTTCACCCAAAGAGTGATTAACACTTGGAATTCACTGCCACAGGAAGTGGTGGCGGCTACAAGCATGGATGGCTTCAAAAGGGAATTAGATAGGCATGGAGCAGAGGTCCATCAGTGGCTATTAGCCACAAGGTATAGATAGGGGCTCTGGGGCAAGTGATGCTCTGTCTTCTTGGTGCTTGGGGGGGGGGTCAACAGTGGGAGGGCTTCTAATGTCCTGGCCCCACTGGTGGACCTCCTGATGGCAACTGGTATTTCTGGCCACTGTGTGACACAGAGTGGACGACTGGATGGGCCTTTGGCCTGATCCAACATTGGCATCTCTTATGTTCTTATGTACCTCAGAATTTCTAAGCCTTTTCTCTCTCACACACACACAAACGTATGCGTCTGTATGTATGTGTGTATGTATGTATGTATGCATGTATGCATGCATGTATGTATGTATGTAATTCTTTGCCTAGGATTGCCAAGTCGTACCTTTGGAATAGTGGGGGGACCCCTGGATGTCCCCTGGAGTCTCCTGGTGCACGCATTTTGCACGCACGCCGTGATCACGTCACCCAGAAGTGATGTAATCACATTGAGCACGTTGGGGAGGGGCCACAATGATTTGAGGGAAAACCATAGAGTTTTCCCTCAGATGATAGAGTGACCCCCCACAATGTGCCCAATGCGATTACGTCACCTCCGGGTGACGTGTTCATGCCGGGCACGTTGTGCGCTTTGGGGGTGGGGTCCCCCTGGGCGGCCCAATCCATGCTGGCAGGGAATGGGCCTCTTGGGCAGGGATTTACCCGCCCCCCGAGGGGACTTGGCAACCCTGTCTTTGCCAGATAAATAAAATGTTTATTCTGTTTTGAAAGTTATTCTTCCTCAAGTGCCATTTTAAGCGGGTTCAAAAACAAGACAGCTCCAATATTTCCCTCAAGTTCCTGTGCTGGGTCAGAAGCCTAAACAAATATCTGGAACGGAGCGGGACAGTTTAGTCTTTTAAGACAAAGAAGAAAAAACACGCTACTTGGGGGCAACTCGGTCACTGAGGGGAACTAAAATTTTGGCGGGAAAATCTGCCTGGGAGTTGGGAAGTGACAGGGGTTCGTCATAAGAGGGTGGCTAATAAGTTGGAAAATTCCTGGAGATTTAGGGGATGGAGTCTTGGGGGACCTCATCAGGCGATAATGCCATAGAGTCCACCCTCCAAAGCATCCCTTTTCTCCAGGGGAACAGATCTCTGTCGTCAGCGATAATTCTAAGAGATCGCCAGCAGTGCTCCCTCTAAGCTGTGGAGTCCTGTGAGCAAACATTCTACTTTGTGAGCTACCAGCATTAAAGTGGTGAGCAGGTGATTTGGCTACGGCATAAATTAGTTTGCCCTGGGGCCCTCCTTCCTGAGCTAAGACAAAAATGTGTGAGCCGGAGGCTAAAAAAACCTGTGAGCTAGCTCACACTGACTCAGCTTAGAGGGAACACTGATCGCCAGGCCCTACCTGGAAGCTGGCCCATAGCTGTAGTGGAATTAATGGGGGCTCAGCCCCCTTCCTTAAAGCCCCCCCCCTTCTTCCCAAAAGGATTTAAAGGGAACCTTTAAATGCTTTTGAGAACAAGCGGGGTGGAGTGAGCCGGCAGGCCATGTGCTCCCTGCTGATCAGCTGAAGGACTATTAAATCTTGCAGGAGAGGACAAAGAGGGTTATGGCCCCACCAGAAAAACTTTTTGCCCCACAAGCCACAACATCCTGGCTGCGGGTCTGCCTAGAGGTGGGCAAGCCTGAGATTAATGGGGACTCAGGTATGGTCTGTAGTGCTGCCGGCCTCCCAAATCTCCAGCACTTTCCCAGTCCACAGCTGGCCACCCCAGTGTTGTGAGCGAGAAATATGCAGACTGTGGGCCCCTAAGGCGACTCTTAGCAGTATTACCTCCAGCCAGCAGGGGCCGCTGTGGGGCTTGAGGCCTCCTGCCCAGATGAACCAGGGCAAGAAGAGGAGCAGCCATATCAGGTGGGGCAGGCTTTGCGTCTATCAAAAATGGGCATTTCCATGTAGGCCTAGGCTCAGTCCCTTCCCCATTTCTATCTCCCAGGCCTAATCGATGAACACACCAAGCCCTTCCGCCCTAGGGATGCCAGTCTCCAGGTGGGACCAGGGGATCCCCTGGAATTGCAGAGAAAATGGCTGCTTTGGAGGGTGCACTCTATGGCACTGCACCCCACTGAGGTCCCTGCCTTCCTCAGCCTCCATCTCCAGACATCCAGTAGTTTCCGAGCCTGCAGCTGGCGACTGTACATCCGCCGCTGGTGGTCAGGCGGAACCTGGCAACTCTGTAATCTGCCCCCAGTTTCCCTGTTGCGAAGTTATCCTGTTTCCCTTGCGCTTTAGGATCGGGGCTTCTCTCTTTAATTTTAATTAATTTGATTTTAATTATTCTGAGGCATTACAGGCCTGCCGGGTAGTCAAGGGACTGCTATGGTCACAAAGCTTGCCTTATTTTAAAGATGTTCATCTAGCAGCCTGGTATTCCACTCCATACAGGCCTGGGTAGTGTTGCCAACAAGTCGGGAGAAAAGCGTCCCCTCCGTTTACTGAGAAGTTACTTACTAGGTGATGTTATTTACCTCCGTGCCATACTGCCGTAAGCTTCAACTACCCATTTCCACACACAAAACTGCTTTATTTACTTATTTTATGAAAACGTTTATATCTCGCCTTTCCGCGTGGCTCAAAGCAGCGTACAATAGCCATTAAAACATCCCCAGCTAAAACCAAAGATGAAGTAGCAAGCCCTGATCCCCCCCCCTTAAAATATACCTGCTATTCAATCCCCCTTATGTACAGGATTCAAATTTGAAATCAAAGCACTTGTCTGCTCCCTTGGAAACCTGTAAAAGAAAAAAAGCACCACAAAAGAGCACCACACGTTAAAGCTCTATATTTTCTCCAGATTGTTCTGAGAGTGAAGCATGGTGAGTTGTTGCCTCCTAGCCAGTTTGTCACAAACAGGAAACGAGTTAACAATGAGTTTGGTGTCGTGGTTCAGTGCGCGGACTCTAATCTGGGAGAACCGGGTTTGATTCCCCACTCCTCCACTTGCACCTGGCTGGATGACCTTGGGCAAGCCATAGTTCTGATAAGAGCTGTTCTTGAAAAAAGAGCAGTTTCTGTCAATGTACAAACTGCGTGTGCGGGATTAAGCAGCCTTTACTTTTCTAAGTATTCAGGAAAGTACGCTGGACCTTTCCATATACCTTGGAAATACTGCAGAATAAAAGCCAACAGTTTAAGTACTGAGTCTTGGTTTGCTCCACAGTTCCCATACATTACGTATTGTGTGAGTTTTGCGCAGTATGTTGCCTTGAAGTATTTTGATTTCTGCCTCAATAGTGTGAACATCCATCCCTATAGGCCGTGTCATCTGGTCTAGCACATCACCACCCGCCATGAGCCCTTCTTCCCCAGAAATGGGAACTCACCACCAATATTCCCTCTAAGCCGTGG